TTGGGATCTCGTCCTCCTTCATCCTTGCAATGTGGCCCGCTCATCGAAGTCTCCCAATCTTGATTCGCTTGATGATATCAGAATCTTTATACAGTCTTGAGAGTTCTTGGTTCTTCCTCCTTATCCAGGTGTCTCCCTCTCGAACCGGCCATAAATTCTTCTCAGTATCTTCCTTTCAAACACCAGATTTGAACCTTAATTTATTATAATCAAATAAATAATTGAAATATACAACCGGAAAAGGAAATGATTAATGTCAAACAAATAAAATATAGTACAATAGAATGCTATGAAAAACATATGGTAATTAATTGTCTTAAATAATGTTTCTTACCTCTATTACTTTTACTTTCACTTTCCTTTCTCTTAAAATACTTATTTATGCTAAGAACAGGGTGGTATGTGAAAGTTGTGTGATGTGCGCACCGAACCAGATTTTTCTAAATGGAGCTTAGCTGTGTTTGTCCGCTCAATAGTTCTCTTTAAATAGTTTTAACAATGACAAACTCTGCTTTCATTTAAAGTAAATTTCGTCTAGTTTAATGTAATAATTGATAATTACTTATATTAAATATTTTTTTATGTATCGCTTCCTATTCAACAAAAAATGTGACACTTAAAAAATACAAAACCTGGATTTCCTACTTTTCTGATGAAAATTGGCCTGTTGTTTATATGAACTTTTTTTTAGTTCTTGAGGTATGTTGAGGTATTTTATCACTCCTTCAAAAATTTCCCTCTACTCATGGGACACCCTGTATACATACACTGGCACACCTTAAATTTTGTGAAATAAAGCATGAACACTTAACAAAAATAAAATAAAATGCATTAATTATTTTTTAATTATGAAATCTGAGTCACTAGTACCTAGTGTTGTCTACCTTTTCTTGAATAACGGTCTGTACTCTCCTATATATTCTACGAATAAGTTGGTTACCCGATCTTGAATCTAATCCATTTCATGTACTTGGGGGTCACATAAAGAATTCTGTCGTCGATGGATTGAAGTCTGAGCTGCGAGCTGGGCTCTCCAAGGTGGAGACATAAACCTTGTGTACGTAGTCCCGTACAACATTCTCAATGTGTGGCCGAGTATAATCCAGTATAAAGAGGAAATGGAGGGCGATAAATTGGCCAAAACATACCACATATTACACATTCTAAAATCTCAGCGTAATCTTTGATCAGAACCTTTCTTGGAATAACCACATTCCCCAGATTACCCAAAAATCCATAACTGTTCTTAAACCATTCCGTGAATGTATTTAAAACAACACCAGACAGCTCCTTGTAACATCCCTTCCCCCAGTTCGACTATGGTTACTTGGTGTATGGAGGTCGATTCACAAGAGTAGAGGAAAGACTGAAGGGAATCATGAATTGCTTCATAAGGTTCGTGTTTGGGATCTCTAGGCGTTCCCATGTTTCCTGCTTATACACTTCGGTGCTTATACAGCACCGAGTTGAAGTGGCTCTATCCCACCTTCCAACGGCAATTCCTTCTTTGTATTTTCCTTTTCCATGTCCTCAGAACCAAAAATCCTCTCTACATCCTAGATCTCCTTACTTTGCATCCTCTATCCCCTCTCTTAATACCAGATCTCAACCTATAGATCTTAATATCCCTTCCCATAAAACCACTTTCTTCAGAAAATCCTTCGTCATTCGTGCTACCTCCTTTTGGAACTCCTTACCTATCTCCATACGTCAAACTACATCCACAAATTCCTTTAAACAATTCCTATTCCTCCACCTACTACACATTCAAACTTCCGCAAGCTTGTAAAGATTTTTAGATTATGTAATTATAATTGCTTGCCAACAGTTAATTGGTAAGAGCCATTTTACTTTAATTTTTCTCTCAGTATTTTTTATATATAGTTGTATTTTTCCTAGGATTCTTTGAATATATTTGTATTATAATTACATTTCAGACTGATGTATATATTTTTTGAACTAGGGGACTTAAGCCCTAGAATAACATTATTTTTCATTCATTCATTAATATTCCTCAAGGATGTCGGTGATTTACATGTGTGCATTGATTGTCGCCCTTTGGAACACACAGAGGTCTGCCCTTGACTCTAAATATATTTCATCCCAAACCAGCACCGAATCCCCTTTGAACTGCACTCTTCCTGCTATATTGCACCGAGCATATTGCTTACTTGCTCTTATCCACAGTTGAACTCGTCTGTTTGCACCTTAAAGGCTATACTTGGACTTATCAGAAAACAGAACAGAGACCAAATCATCTTCTGTCCAGGCAGCATGTTCATGACAAAGGTGAAGGCAAAACTTCTTACTTTCCCGAGCAATACGCTATCGATGAGAAGTCTCAACGGAAATCTGGTAGCTGGACCATGGATTTGGATAGCCTAATCATGGCCTCCTAGTAGCTTCCTGTGTTCCTGTCTTCCCCTACTTCTGAACTGCCCGCTAAACTGGTGTTTCAGCCATTCTGTTTACTGAGGCTGTCGGTTAAATGGTGTTTTAATGTTCCAGAATAAAAATAATTATTTATTTATTTCTTCTTTCTTCATCTGTTCAATCCAAACTACTCCAATTTGTATTAAAAATTAATCCAATTTATTAATTAGGTTAATAGTTAATATATGTTAATTGGCAGTTGCAGTATGAGTTTTTGACAATGTCTTAGTATTATTCATTAATAAAAATTCAATGGACCAATAATTTCTGCTATAGTTATGATGTTAAGAAATTGATAACGTTATCTGATTCATTTTTTTGGCTATAAAACCTGTCAATTTTTTTGTTAATAATCAGCAAATGTGCTGGAAATACAGATATACATGACTTATCATTCATGGGGAACAAAAGTACTAAGCAGCACCTCTTCCCTGACTTGTTTCAATTACATAGGTTGTTTATGGAAGGAAATCTCTCATCTAATGCCTTTTTAGTCTCTTCCTCATGTTCTGGAGTATGTCAGCTGTAGCTATGTCTCTTATTAATCTGTTGAGATTGCCATTTAAATTAGTATAAAATCGTTGGTAAAGGGTCGTTATATGTTGGTCAATTGTTGAAAGGTGGATGTCAGTATGGAGAGTTTTGTGAGTCATCTGATTCAAAAGTTCCTAAAATTAGTCTTAAAATTATAATTTTTAACAAAAAGACTTCTATCTCAATCTCTTTATACTTGTTATCACAATCCCTAATAATTATGCTTTATCTAGGATATCTAAGCACAGATTTTGTACTTAAAAGATTTTAGTTATAATAGTTAGATTCTATCTATCTAATCCTTATTACACCAATCTTTTGTTTTTCTTGTGAAAGTTAAACCAAGTTCAAGAGTTTTTACAAACTTTTAAACTGATTTAGAGTTGGATGCTTTTCATTTTATCTTGTCTTATTCACTTAATAATTTTTATCAACAGCTATGTAACCAGTCAATACTGGCTTTTATTTAATTGTTTAGGCTGTTTATTTGTTATATATTAATACTATTTACTTCAATGTAATCAATGATGTTTTAAATTATAAGTAATGATTTGTCTTAGATTACATTCTTATGTTTGTTTACAATAGGCTGAGAAGGGTCTTCATTATTGAGAATAGCATATTATGTTTTTATTTATTTATTACTTTTTAAAAGTTATTTTGTTGTTCATAAACCTGTGACTTAATGTTGGTCAAATAAGCCACATTGAATATTTTAAATAAGTACAAAGCTAAATTGTATGTATGTATATTCATCAAGATAGTTTTTAGGTGAGAATTTGAGCCTCATGCCTCATTCAGCTTTGTGAAAGGGAGGTTGTAGGGCATTTTTTATTGTGTTATTTTCATGAGTGGGTAGCAAGGGATTTTATTTCCTTAATTTTTGACTTCTATTGTATTTAATAATTTAAAGCATGTACTGTTAATAAAATTTCAGCTAAAATGTTATTTTTATTCTGATCTTGTTCTTTCCTGAACAAGCAAAATCATTTTTAGTTATTAAACAAATAAAAATCCTACAGTTACATTCACTTCACTAAGGTAACTGTAATAACTCATAGCACAGTGATTACACTAAAAAATAAAGAAAAAATAGCAGCATCTCAAGATACGTAGGCTAATTATGGGGCACAGGACACTAATGATCTAAAACTTGGGTGATAGAAGTTTCTTGTGAGGGTGTTCATATGTGTAAGTTAGCAGCCATTAATCTCTCTGGGGCACTTTTACCTACCTTAGCTGAGACAGAACCTTTATTGAAAAATAGAATATTTTGTTTTTCCTCCTTTAGATCTCATTGTTTCTTGTCTTGTCTTGAAGTCTGATTGTTGAACATGTGAAATATTTGGTTTTATTTATTAAAAAAAAATATATCACCCCCTGTATGTTAATTACCCATGATGAATTGTGAAACCAAAGATATTAAAAACTGTGTCTGTGGAATTTCAGCTTGATCAGTACATTTTATGGCAGTTAAGGAGAGAGATATCTATGAAAAATGATTAACTCCCCTTAATTATGAAGATAACCCCCCTTCTGAAAAAGAGCCTTGCTCTTGAGGCTTTGCGATTTCCTCAGGGAAAATGTGGAGTAAGTGATACACAAGGTCAGTAAATGAAATTGTTGTTGAGGTTCCTTACATAGAAGTGGTTGGTTACTGCAGTACAGTTTCTGTTGGCTTAGAGAAGGATTATTTTTTTTTTTTTTTTTTTAGATTCATTTGTAATAAATAAAAATTAGATAATTAGACATTGATTACATTGTCGTAGAATCAAATTTTAATTTATTTATTGTTGCTTTTATAATACCTTTTGCTATGCTTTTTTATATATTTATTTATTATTAATTTTTCTTTAACAATTATTTGGAAGAAGGTTATGTTATCTATAATTTTTCAAAATCTACTTTTGTATAACTGATGTGGTGTCAGATTTTAATATTTTTAACTGCAGCTTTTTATTTCATTTGAAATAGTTGTTTGTGTTCATATTTATTGAATTCACTTTTTATTTTGTTATACTTTTTGTTTTCAGTACAGCAATACAAGCCCATCGAGTAGTCCCCAAAGTCCTCCTTCACCTACTAGTTCATTGTGTAAAATGAGTCCAGTTGAGGCAAATAACTATTATATCACTCAAGAAGATATGACACTACAACACCATTTTGAGCAATTTTCTGTGGTAAGTGTTTTTAATCTAAATTTTTTAAATAATGATATTTTTTAACCTAATATAAAGGTATTTAGGCTTGATATTATGAATAAAGGATATTTTTTTGTAGTTGTCTCAATTTTCTTGATTGTGTCTAGTTATAACCATTATTTTTTTCAATAAATTTATTTACTTTTACTCCTGAAATGAACTTAATGTTTCTTCAATTACTGTGACTTTGAAAACATACTCATTTAAATTTTTTAGTGAATGTTTTCTGTTATGTTCATCTAACAAGAATGTAGTTAGTTTATAAATAAGTAATGGTTTGAAATTACAAATTTATACAAAGCTTAGAATATTTTAAGTTTATAAATAAGTAATGGTCTGAAATTACAAATTTATACTATGCTTACAATATTTTATGAGTGAAATTGATTAAAATAATATAATAATAGTTTCCCTGAATCAGATTTGGTATACTTTGCGGTGGGTTTTGTGTCTGCGAGATGAATGACTATTTTACCCCATTTTTGATGAGGAAGGCAATGGCTTCCATTTCGAGACACGATCTGTACCTAAATAAAATTACTCAAATTATTTGATTGACTATAATTCAGCATCATCATCTTCAGACTGGTCCGTATCTGTGACAAAGTCTTGCAGACTTTTTTTGTCTGACCCAATGATGTTAATATCATTGATAGAAGAAGCAATTTCATCTGCCAAATCAATACTGTCATTCTGTATTGTATAAGTATTGTATAAACTACAATATTTTATAAGCTAAGAGTTGACATCTAAAAAATAAGAAAATTGAGTTTGTAATTTAGAAAAAAACTAATTAAACCTAGATAAAATAAAAGGCTCTTTCATCAGAGCCTGAAGAATCCAGATTTTGTAAAATATCTAAGATCTTCTTGTCTCGGCTCATGAGTTAAAAAAAAGATACGCAGGAGGTGACCAAGTAAGCAAAATGCTCAGGTAAGAAACAAGGATGTCACGTTAGGAGTATACTGGTGAGAAAAACGCTCAGTCTTATCCGTTGCAAGGCTAGAGTAAAACTGAATTGAGTCAGGTGGGAGGTAAACATTAAAGGAAAAGGGGAGTAACAAAAACAAGTGGCAATAACAACATCAAAGGGTTTAGGTAAGGTAGACAAAATTATAAATAAAGTACTAGGAAAATATAAATATTTATTTCGCAATAGGAATAGTCAGGGCTACCTCTCCTGGGTTCCTCTTCTTCTTTTATTGGCACAACAGGGCCATGAAGCTACCCTTGCCCTGCTCAACAGCCATCAACCATCTCTCCTAGGTTAAAAGAGAAAAATCCTCTGCACTCCTGGAATCATGATATTAACACATGGAGGAGAAGGACCAATAAAAAGCTACTGACAGAAACTCAATAACGAATATCTAATGATATGAAGGCAAGTAGATTAAAATGAGTGGAAAATATAGCTCGATGCAATCCATCAGGAAACCTCCATACAACAATAAATTCCTCAATAGTTCGCAAATTAGGCAGAAAAACTAGATAAATAGATTGAATCAGCAAAAATAGAATAGAGCTGCATGCAGATAACTCGGAAGAAACAGTCCAAGATAGGCTGGTTAAGCCGGCAAAAGATGTACAAGTTCGTAATGCGTACAGAAAAAAAATTACTATAAACCCAAAATATTATTACAAAAAATTTCTTTTAAACTTTTATTTTTGAAACTTTTTCCAAAATATTTGCATAGATTCTGTTAAAATGGAACTTTTTAAAAACGTTTCAAGCCCTGAACCATACTTCTTTATGTTAAAGGTCATGGGCACTTTATTTATCAAATGCTCTTGTTTCAGTACTATACAGAGTGTCCCGTAAGTTGAGAGAAAAATATAAAGAGGTGATATTGAAATTCAAGAGTTACAAAAAAGTTTACATAAACAATTGTCTGATTTTTGGCAGAAAAGTATAAAATTTAAGTTTCTTTATGCAAGTCACATTTTTGTTTTGAATAGAAAGCGATAACTAAAAAAAATATTTAATATAATTAATTGAGAATTGTTTCACAGGAAACTAGACAAAATTTACTTCAAATAAAAGTAGAGTTTGTCATTGTTAAAATTATTTAAAGAGGACTTTTAAGATGATAAACTAAGCTAAGTTCTGTTTTAAAAAAATTATGAAACAATTTTTTTTCTGACCCTCTAACCATATTACAGATACCCCACTTTTAGAAAAACTTCCTAGTTTAATAAGCTTTAAGTCTAAGTCTATATTAATTGAGTTGAGGTTTATTAGGAACTATGATGAGATTTACCTCAAGTTGTGCAAAAAAAATTAGGTAATTTGATATTGTTTAAATTTATCTGTTTTCAGAAAAAATAACATCAATTAATTATTGCAAAGCTTAAATTTTGTTTTTTTTTGTCCATCACCTGGGATGTAAAGGGATAACAAACATAAATTCATATAAATACACTTTTTATATTTATCATCTAAAGTTATAATGGAACTATGGTTTTTACTCAAATCTCTATTATAGAAATTGATCTTATAAGTGATCAATGAAATTTTCGTTATTTTAAATGTAAATATTAGAATTGGAATAATTTAGTTGGCTACTTATAAATATGGATCACTTTATATATTAGAGATCTTAATAAAAAACACAGTTTCATTATCAATTTAAATGATAAATATTTGAAAAATCATTATTTTTTTAAAAATAAAAAGTGTATTTATGTTTATTAGAATACATCCCAGATAATGAAAAAAAAAAAAATTAAAGCTTTGCAGTAATTTTTGCTCAACATATGGGTATTTTTTAGTGACAGATTATAAAATCATCTCATTTTTTACAAAACTTAAAGTTAATCTCTTTTTTTTTTCAATATAAACCTCAAATTAATTAATATAGACTTAAACCTTATTAAACAAAGAAGTTTTCCAAAAGTGGGGTTGCTGTAATCTAGAAAAAATTTGGGGAATGGTCATTTATCACAAAAGAAGCTAAAAGCATGTTCGTTGGTATGCTGCCTCATTAAACAATCACTTACTTCTTGTTATAAAGAAATTTATATATATAAAATAAAAAATTGTATGACCAAAACAAGGATAAATAAAAAAATAATAAAATAATTTTTAATAAATATAATTTTCTATCGGAACCTTTACTTGTTGGGCGCCTGGCTTTACTAGCCTTTCATCTCTAAAGAGATAATTATAGAGAATATAAGTTACTTACCCATTATTTGGCCATGATTAATCATTTATCCTACCATGCTACCTCAGGTGAGAAGGGGTTAGGTTGGATATTTTTATAAAGCAGCAAAAAAGGTTAAGAGATTTATTTACAGAAAGAAATATTTACAGAATTAATACTATGTACAAGCAAAAGAAATAAAATAAAAGGAAAGAGGGAAACTTTAAACATAATTACTATATACAATTAAAGATAATAAAAATAACAAAAAATATACTTATTCTATATACAATAGTATGGCATGCCACATATAAACATCAAGAAACGATAGTCAAGATATAAGATATAAGAGCACATGTACATGCTAAAATAGGAATTAATAATTAGTCACAGGAAACAAAAGAGAGAAGAGTTCTATTATTATTTTTTTTCAATGCTTCCTCAATCTTGGTTACAATTGTACAAATAAACCTGGACATGTTTTTAAAAAAACAACCACCAACAATCCGTGAATCAGGTATGGGTATTATTAAGGAAAAATATGAATAAATATTATATCCAAATATAATATATTGTACGAATGTAATTTCCATGTAGGTACATTCACCAAATATAATATTTTTTATGAAAATTAAATAAATTTATATTCTATTAAATTTTTTTCAACATATGACCATTTTGACTAATGACTGAGATTAATGAATGGGACGTTATTAAAACTTCAGAACTGATCATGAAAAGTCCAATTCCAGCCAAGAAAAGTAGGTCCTTTTCTTTATACTGAAAATCCCATTTAAAAATACAAGTATCAAGGTTGTGATTTTTCCCTCCATAAATATATTTCTACTAATCCTAGAAATACTTGTGGTTTTTCCTTCCTAAAATGTATTTCTTCTGATCCTAGAAAATGTTTTTTTTTAACACCATAAATTATGGTACAAATCAGTGTAAATTTTCAGGTTTCTACACTGTACACATGAAGCAGAAGGTACTTTTAAAACTATTGTAAAATAACCTCATAGGTTTTTGAATAAGTTATTGTGATTCTCCAAAAATCACATTTTTTGGTGAATTTAGTGTTGTTATCAAGCTTAAGCAAAAAATAATTGGTTTGATTATTTATTTTATTAGTATTATTTTATAATTTATTTATTTATTTGCGTAGCAATTGGGATATTTTGGTATTAAGCTCATTTTTCTACCTTCATCTGAATCAGAGATATAAAATAAAATGCATTTCTAACAACCATACCTCTAGGATTCCAAGTGAACTTTGGCCCTTCATTTTTGTAATATTCCTATGTTTTAAAATCTAGATTGATCTAAAAAAAAAGTCATCGAAATTTATCTCTCATGTGGGATCCTCTCCTTGTAAGTGAGTGTGCCTTAACTGATAAAAATTTTTATGGTTAACCTTAATTATTAATTAGGCCTGTATGGTTTGATCAAGTGACAATGGTGATAGAGAAATAATTACACATTTTAAGTGAGATGCCAAATATAATTAATGAAGGTACATATTTGGAATGATGTAATATGTTAGAGATTCTGGTGAGCTGAATGTATTATCCATTTAGCGATTATAAGCCAGAGATAAATTATAGTGTTAAACATATAAGAATTGCATCTTACCTTGTCTCAAATAAGTATTAACCAGTATATGTGACTAACTAAATATTGTAAGGGCTCACGTTGTTCATCTAAGGAAAGGGAATTGGAGAGGGTGGGTGCTCGGTGAGGTCTCTTCACATGACTGTCATCTCATCATGAACCAAATGCTCCGCCTCATTTTATTACAATGAGTTATAACTAACATTATTAAATTTATTAAATAAC